ACCCAACTAGGGGATTACCTATTTAAACTCTCTGGTCACAACCGGCCCGCCATTTCTTATCTAACCAAGGTGTAACTTACTATTCATATGTGTACCTATTTTTATATCAGATATATATATTATAATTTTATAATAATTCTATATAAGCTATCTATACTAAAGATTAACCATTTTTGTATTGAAATAAACATGATTTATATAGTAATTTACTGTAAAAAATTCTTGATTTATTGTACTTACTTGCTATAGCAATAGTGATTTAAATATAAATATATTAATTTTGTATTAGAATAAACATGATTTTTATAGTAATTTACTGCTAATTTACTTACTTATTATAGTAATACAAGTAATTTAAATATAGTAATATTATAGTAGTTTTTGTATTATAATAAATATAATTTCTATGGTAATTTACTATAAAAAATTTCTGGTTTACTATATTCGCTATAGTAATAGTAATTTAAATATAGATATATTAGTTTGTATTAAAATAAACTTGATTTTATAATAATTTACTATAAAAAATTTTGGTTTACTATACTTACTTACTATAGTAATACAAGTGATTTAGATATGATTATATTAGTTTTGTATTAAAATGAACATAATTTCTATAATAATTTATTATAAAAAATTCTTACAAAGGCTCTCTTGAAAATACAATATCATAGTTTAAAGTATTATTACAAAAGTTAATTTTAAATAAGCATTTGTATATATCTTCTATCAATATTGTCAAATACTGTATATTGTTTTGTAATTTATTTTTAAAAATAATTATAACAAACCTTTATAAAAAATATACTAAAGATATACTATATACTATAAGAAAAAAATCATATACAGTATCACCCAATTCATCTCCAAGAATTCTATTATAAATACAACTGCAAAGAAGCTTTACTCATTTTATATACTCATTATTAATACTTAGAGTATGTTTGTAATTATTTTATTCTAAAATTAATTGTATACAGTAAATGAGTACTGCCAAAGAAAAAGAGCTACTTTAGACTTTATTAAAATTTTTTGATCTTAATAACTACTTGATTAAAATTAATAATAATTTTTTTATTTAAATTCTACAAATTTGTAAAATTTAAATAAAAAATTATTATCAATTTTGATCAAGTAGTTGTTGAGATGTTTTTAATCAAAAAAAAATTTAAAAAGTTCAAAGTGGCCTTTATCTTGGCAGCACTCAAATATAAATATATACAGTATAACATATTATGACAATAATTGTATTAGTTGCAAAACTCTATAGCTTACACATTGTACAATTTCTTGAAAATCAAATAGGAGTCAGTCTTTTGATAAGGTCACATCAACAATCAATTAATCCAAGTAAGAAGAAAGAGAAGCAAAAAACCTCATGTAAATGATACAGGTTCTTTCTCAAAAACTTCAAAATCTATTAACAGGAAGAAAGTATGCTTTTTTAGAATAGATAATTTATTTTATTTTATTATCAATAAAACTGAATGAAAAACAAATTTTAGTTTTTTTTTTTTTTTAAAGATGATCGTTCAAACTTTAAAAAAAAATCAGTGATACTAATAAGATAGAAAGGTCAGAATATGTTTCTTCCATTTTACATGGCGTTATATCGACTTTTGCAGAGGATATAAAACTACACAGGCCCTACAAACGATTTAAGCTTTTTATGATTTCGCATGCATAATCAGTTTACTTTTGCATGTGCACCGATGCTAAAGCATTACTTGAGAAATATCAAAAAGTAATAGAAAGTACCAAAGAATTAAATAAAGTAATGTTCATCTTTCAGAACCCCATAATTGGGGAAGAGTTTGATGATGAAAAACACTTAGAAGCACTATGGATTCAATCCATATTTATAAAATTATTTTAATAATTTAATATCGATGTTACATAAATAACCAAATTTTTTCGTCCCTTCTTTATTTCATATAAAAATTTTTTTTGATTGAAATAACTTTATATGTACAAAAAAGCAACCAATATACTTTTTTTCAAATAAAAACAAACTTAATTTTTTTAATGTAGTTATTTTAATGCTAAAATTTTGATGTTTGGGAAGTTTGGAACGAAATCATTTTTCCGAATTATAGTAAACTATTTGGAATTTAAAACTGTCGAATTAAAAAAATAAACTAGTCTAAAATTTCGAACAAAAACCGTCTACCAAATTGGGACTAGAGTCTTTCTAAATTTCGCACAGAAGTATCATCAATAAAAAGTCTGGAACTTTGGTCCTTTCAGATCACATAACATCCCTAATGCTTGGTACGGGTGTACACATGTCGGGAAAATACGGTAACTGGCATTAAATAATTATTTAGTAATACAGTCTATACGTATTTTTAAATCAAATAAATAAAATAAAATAAACAAACCTTACACATACATATCTACATCAAATATTCCAGATTCTAACTACATTATTCCATTTTATAATACAGTAATAGAAGAAGAAATTCAAAAGTAATTTATATTTACATGACAACAAAGAAACATTATGTTGCTCGAATACATCGTAAAACTAAAAATTATCCAGTTATTTTTATTTATTTGTAAAGTATAAATTGTAATCTAACCTTACGACTAAGCATAAAAATTGAACTGTTTCAGTTGCAGAATAAAAATTTAAACAATCAATTAGTAACTTAATATGATAAAGAAAATAATCTTCAAATTTTTCGAATAGTTGTAAAGTGCGATCTTGTGAGTCTATTTGTAAGGGATCTGATGCAGATTCAACTTGTGACTCGAGTATAGTGATAGATTTCATAAATTTTTCGGTATTGTTGGAAAAAAGAACACATGCAGAAGCCAACTTTGAATAAGTCTGTTCAAAAAAAAATAAAATAAAAAAATCATTAATTTAGCAATTTAATGAGAAAATCAAAGTTAAATTACTTACTCTTAATAATTTTGCATTCGTTAGCATGCATTCCTTAAGACAAGTATCAAGAAAATCCGAATGATATTGTAATACTTGATCAACTGTAGATACCTAATTTACAATGATTTAAAAAAAAAAGATATTTAGATATAAAATATCACGAGAATAGTTATTAATTTGTGATGAAACCTGAATAAAAAACACCTTTGCTAGATTAGCCTCCAAATTTCTCCATTGAGGTTCTAGTACTTCATTAGTGATGTAATATGCAAATTGTTGTATAAAAACCAACATCCTTTGACGAAGAGCAAAAACACGACTTTTCCATGCTTCAATGGTCGGATGACCTGAACCATGCCGCCAATAAAATGACTTTGAATGTTCAATCCAGGTGCTGCACAATAATTGTTCGACATATTTAAGATGAAGTAAATGTCTAAATAATAGTTGATATTTGGTAAGAGCTTTACGAGAAATTACAAGAGATAGCGGAAAAGTCACAGTATAATCCAAAGTAAGTGCATCAATTCCTGTAAAATGTTCAAATAAATTAATATTAATTAGATGAGATAGATAATACAATAGTACAATAATGTAATTACAAGTCGTACCCATTAACGGTTGCTTGCTACTTCCTACATTCCATACTACACCTCCTGCAAAACCAAATCTCTCGTCACCAATTACGGAGCCTACTTCAGAACCTTCAATTTCACTTTCATCCCCCATCCTACCAATATCTTTCCGAGCTCCAAAAATTTCAGTCATACTATTAGTTCGAGTAACTGGACCTGTTTCTACGTTTATTATACGTAGTAATTGGTCTACTAAACGAACAGTACTCATTTCCACTTTAACATCTTCTTTAAATGGATCAGTATATGCAACGGAAGAAGGATTACGAAGAACTAAATCAAGTAGAGATTGAAGTTTTGTAAGAGAGACTTGACTGGATGGTTTTTTTAATTCCGCTGATGCAAGATCGAGAAAATGTGTAAAAAAATCTGATTGATCAAGGAAAAAATAATGTTTTATCGATCTGGATATATATATATATATATATATATATATATATAATTAGATATATAATAGATTAATGACAATTATAAAAAAAAATAATTAGATTTCATACCGAAGACGAGCTATAAGTTGTAGATCTTTTAATAACAAATCCAATAATTTTCTATTTGCGCATTTATATGCGTTCTCGATACTATCTACAAATCTAATTGTAGTATTTACAAGAAGCCCAATGCAAAAATTAGTGAGGAAATTAAGCCAGTAGTAAAGTCAAGATAATAATAATGATTTCAAATGAAAGAAAATGCAATAATAATATTATTAATGTTATATGTCATAATACTAACCTTCCACCATCCATAGCAGCCAAAAGATCATTACTAAAATTAACATCAGTTTTATCCACACTATCTTTATCAACTAAATCGTCTATTAATTGTTGCTCTGGTTCCTGTATTGTAATTCCACATTCACGGATAACATTGAGGTATTTGCCAGCTAACAGTATTTTATTTCTAAATGGGATTAAAAATGGAGGAACAACATCTTCTTTAATAGTATATCGCATTTCCCAATAAACATCATTGAAATCCTCTTTAAGATCTTCTTTCTTGACGCCTTTTCGTTCTTGTATCATAAATTCTTCATATGGATCACGAATTTCACCATTATGTATCCATGAATGTAACATTGTGACGTACGGTTGTGATGATTTTGAAAGTAGATACATGTAAAGCTTTTTAGTTGCTAGATCTCTGAGCATTAATAAAAATATATATATATGAGTGTATATATGTATATATGTATATATGTATGTATGTATAAATCTAAGTAAATTACATATATGTAAATTGAATATTTTTTTACTCATATTTTAAAATGAAATTGTTGTTACCCGCTCAAATTAGTCATTTGTTCAATCAAGATACTCAATAAACCACCACCTTTAATCCGTTGGGGTATATTATTATTTCGATGAAAACCATCTATGATTAGTATATCAGTATCCAACTCCATCGCATGTTGTGCCACACTTCGAATATCCATGATTAGTGAATACAAATTCGACATTGTATGCAATGTTGGATGTACGTGAAACCAGAATTTTTGAAGAGTAAATGATGAGGAAGAACAAAACTGATGCTCGAGTTGAGTGATTAATATGAGATATTCCTAAGTGGTAATAATTACAAAAAGTCCAAATTTGTGCTATAATTTTACTATGCATTGACATATAAAGAGTGATGGCTATTGAAATAAATATATTTACAGGTAAAGTACCTTTAATAATTCTCTCATTGCAGCACATAAAGCGTGATTTACAAAACCATACTCGAACTTTGAATGCATCTCAATGAAAGCATTGATAGAAGTATAATAAGTTGCGAGGGGTAAGATACGCTCGGTCAAGTCTTTTAACGACGGATCTGATAAATTTTATAAGATCAAAACATCATTAAAAATATGGAAATGGGTATTTACAAATAAATGACTTAAGCAAATAATATAAACCTAAAGATGCATCCACCAAATAAGTAACTTCATCCAATTGTTCATCATCAGTAAGATCCTCAGATAAATTATTCGCTTCAATATATTTGCCCTCAATTCCCTATAATTAACTCAATCATGTAAAAGTTTTTATAGAGAATCATGCAAATTGCTTCCAGCAATTGCAACTAACACTGATTAAGAAGAAGGATCGCGTACCATCATTACAAATAATAAGTCTTCTATAATAGAATACTCTTGAATTTTTAAAGGCAGTGACCCAATTTTTAATTCTCGATCATTATTGTCACGCTATTTATAGTAAAAAAAAAGAATAATAAGTAATTATTATATAAAGATTTATGTATTGTCATTTTTTTAAAATAATTCGCACCGGTGTAGACAGCTGATGAACTCTGGAATTTAAAGGCGCGTTTATAAAATCTTGTTCTTCGTGAAAGTATTTAGCCGCATGAACTTATGTAAAGGATTTTTTGTAAGTTGTCAATTGTGGATAAATTATTTAAAAGCATTTTTTAAACACAAACCGTTTATAAAACGTGAGGTAAATGGCGTAGACTTCAGTTGATTTGTGCGTGAGTTGACCGGTCGAATATTTGCTAGTTGGGCAGTGAGCTACTCATTAAAAACCGGTATATAAGATTCATATTTAAGAATAAGTAGGAAAAAAAAAAAATCATTATGTGGCCATAAATAAATTCAATGCCTTTGACATATCGGCGGATTTGCGGAATCTTCAAAGTTTATCCACCCAAAATTTTAGCAAACAAATACTGAAATACTGAAATATATACATACATATAATTTTAAGGGGTAAGTAGATAATTTAACGCGCCGTTATTGTATCTATTTACCCCTTAACTGTTAAATTATCTTGCTACAAAATTTTGCGGATAACTTTGAAGATTCAATTTAGGACCAACCCGCCGATACGAAAAGTTTTTACTTATTGCCTTATTAACTTGTTGTTCAGTCAGCAATCCTTTTGCTGACGCGATTGTAGAGCTTTTATTTGAATATTCTTCGGACGGAATTGCAGTAAATGAACGCGGTCGTGGCTTACTCATTTTTAATAAGAACTAAAAAATAAACTAGGTAATGTGTAGCATTAAATGTGAAGTTTATCATATGATTGATGTCATGAAATCAACCAATCAGCATCATGGAAGAGACCTAACAAACGCTTCTATATATAGGATAAATATATAATGAAGTCGATGATTTTAAACAAATAACCTTTATACGTATTATACGTAGTCTACGTCAGTGTTAATGAAATAGATTAATTACTGCCTGATCAAGTAATTTATACATGAATTTTCTAATACCGGTACGTAATTTATACGTATTCGAATATTGATATTCAGTTAATAAATTTTAGAATCTGTAATAGCTTTATTTTGATCTATCGTACTCAGAAAATTAAAAAAGATAATGCTAACTTGAACTTCTCAGTGGGAATTACTAGAACTGGTCCTGATTGGATAGAATTGGAGCATACCTGATACTGTATTCATAGGAAGACTTTCGTATGATTGGCTGTTTAAATCAATTAAATTTTACATTATTTATACAGTTTAAAGTACTTTTTTAAAAAAAGAAAACTACTCAGAATAAACAAAAAAAAAGTATATAGAAAGTTTTATTAGGGTTGTAGGACTCCATTATTAAAAAGTATCTAAATCCCTTTTTGTTTTAGAGAAGTTAGCATGGTGATAACCTATCTTTAAAAAGTCTCTATTATGCTAACTTCTCTAAAACAAAAAGGGATTTAGATACTTTTTAATAGTGGAGTCCTACAACCCTAATAAAACTTTCT